AAGCAGTAATGCGAGTTATATTGGCTTTCCTCTTAGTTTGTCGCTTTCCACTTTTAGAGAGGGGGAAGGGGGTAAATTTTATTAGGACACGACCAAAATCTTCCAACTCCTTACTCCGCCAGGCGATGAAATAATAAGCAGTTCCTCTCACCCCCGGGTCGAGATAGGTAAGTATCTTACCCGCCTAGAACACCAGGGCTCGAGTTCAAATCTTGCATTTGGAGAGTCCAGCGTTGTACAAACAGCCTTTCTCACGAACCATCTTTTGTTCTCTAATAATACGCTACAGTCAGAATGCTTGTAGGATACGAGTAGTACCTCCTTTTCGAGTGCATGGAGCGGCGCATCGGCGTCACTCAAACAGTTCCCGCGGCGCGTAATCAAGACCCTATCAGCAAATTTTGACTCGCGCTATGGACTTCGCCGAAAAGGAAGAACTGCTCGTGTCTAGAATGCTTGATACGGAGTGTAAGAAAAATACAAAGAACTTACTGAGACAGATGCTATTGTCATTTCTAACGGAACTTGTTTTTTTGTCAGACCATTGAGTGGAACCAAACCAGTTATGTCAAGTGACCGTGCAACCCTTAAACATGTACAAGGCCACCTTGAGAGTTTTTTTGACACAAAAGTCTCTTTACGTCAAAAAGAAATAATGAAGAATTCAGAGACTGTCAATGACTTTCTTGATGGTTTATTGCCTTTGATAGTTAAACAAGATAAAAATTTTGGGCTGAGGAAGCTTAAAACAGGTAAGCCACCATTCTCAAATAGAGTATCACTAAAAAGCGAAAGAATTTAAATAAGGCCATCGACTTCTCTGGCGCTGGGGGCCTGGGGGGGAATGGGCAGCAGATCTTATCAAAGACTGGGTTTTCATTAACTTCGACCGTACTATTAAAGGGGGGAAGGGGGTTTCAAGAAAAGCTCTGTTACTTGAAAAAGAAGAGAAATGATTTAATAACCTAGTATTCTTCTTTCTGTTTTTCTTTACAGGAAGCTATTATGAGAAACTGAAGGTTTCTGAGCCAACGGAATTCGATGTGATGTTAGTTTTCGATTTTATCCGCTTCGCAAAGTTCGTCAAAGTAGAATACAACTATCGGGTTCCTGCGACTATGCTTTACGCGAAACTCAAGTTCCAAGATCATATCAAAAACGGAAGAAAACTTTGGGGAGCATTCCTAACTGCGGATGGAAAATACCTCTCGCCCAGAAAATTATCGAAACGTTTCTTCTCCTTGGTGCAGAAAGCGGTGGAGAATCCTAAGTGGAATCAACGACACCGGGTGTCAAATGTTCGTCCGAACGGCCCAGCAGTAACGCTGACAATTGATGGGAAAATCGACTTGGACTTAGTTTTGAGCTTTGAGATTTTGGAGTGGCTGAGCTGTGCGAGTAGTTGGGGCGAATCAGAACGTATCTGGCCAAGAAAACGGGATGTTGAGAAAATAAAAACTTTAGAACCGAAATGTTATCTGGTTGCAAAACCGTGCGAAGTGGAGTCTCGGGATTCTGGTGATTTCTGGCGAATTTCATTTTCAGAGGCAGAGAAAAAACTGTTATTGCGAGAGTATCCGGACAAGAAATGTTACAAGATTGTGAAGGCTATCTATCAGTCTAAAAAGAAGGTATTGACACCACTTACTTCTTTTCACCTAAAGAACTTGTTACTGCACCGTAGGTGTGATCATCCCGGAGAAAAACCCAACGACTCCAAATTGGCACTATGCGTGGTGAAGTTTCTTGAGGATCTGATTCATCGACTGACAAAAGGTACTTTACCTCACTTCTTTGTTTCGCGTGTGGATCTTTTAGCAAAGATTTCAAAAGAGGATCGACTGAATATTGCTCGTAAACTAAAGAACTATCTTGACAATCTTGTTAGAAGTCCAGGAAGCTTTCTAGGAAGATTGAAACCGTAAATTGTAATATGTTTTCAAGTGGTTTCGGCCTGGTTTCGTTCTGTTATTTGGAGACCACGTTCATTGCTCTTGATTTGTTCCGGAAGAGAAGCACAGGAACCACACGGAGAGCCATTAATTCATGACTTTTTGCAAAATGAGTTCGCACCGCACCGTAGTGTAAACACTTTTCCTTTAACACATTGCACGTTTTATTAAAAAAAAAAAAAAAAAAAAACCTTCAAATTTGTTTTGGTTTCGCTCTCTTGACTTATTTTTTGCTTGAAAAAACTAATGAAGGTTAATTTTCTTGTTAGGAACAGACAACGTATGTAGGCAATTTTGGAAGTACTGAACCAAAAAAAAAAAATCAATATAGAGCAAATTTAAATTCAGACAAGAAGGCAAGCTATCTTATCAGCTGCCGGCTAGGAGGATATTTCCAGACACTTCTTCACTCTTTACACCCCGAATATCAACATCCATATTCTCTTTACTGTTCTCTTTACATTTCTTAATGTACTGACAAGGAGAAATTGCTTAACAATCAAGAGCTTCCTTAGTTGGTGATCGTAGGGGGAGTAGGGGGAGGATCATAGGGGAGCAGAGGGAGGATCGTTGGGGAGCAGGGTTGGCGTAGTCGTGAGAACGTTCGCCTTCTACCAATTTGTCTCGGGTTCCATTCCCGGACCCGGCGTCATAAGTAGATTGAGTTTGTTGGTTCTCTACTCTGTTCCGAGAAGTTTTTCTCCGGGTACTCCGGTTTACCCCTCTCCTCAAAAACCATCATCATTTGAATTTATTTAATTTAGAGTTTATTTGGATTTACACACGACCCCACAAGCTGTTCAGCTTTAAACATTATCATGTCTAAATAAAGGTGTTATTATTATTGTTATTATTATTATTATTATTATTATTATTATTAGTAAGAATTTGGTAAGATGGGGATTATCACAAAGTCTTGATTGATCCTTTTGCCTTAATCCTGAGTCACTCCTTCATGTTGTCGCTGGAGAATGCTTGTAGGATACGAGTAG